GCTACAATGAATGAAGAACTGTTCGCTAGATTCACATTTGTTCCCGCACAGACAGGATGGGTCATCAGATATATGCATGAGGTATTTATGATAAATTTAAATCAGATTTCGAATTGCGTAATTTGGAGTGAATAATCTGGAACGCCCTGTCGCCAAAATTGAATAGATCGTTGTATTTAGGTTTACCGTATGCTTGTCTAATTTGAATGAAGAGATCGAGTCAGAAGTTTTGATGCTTTCGTCAAGACGATCCCATTACAGCACTGACGATGGAAAAAACGAATTTTTTTTTATAAAGGTTGGATTTACAGCAAATATTCGTTAGATTATTGGAGTTTCTGAGTTGATATGGTTGACTTGACGCTATAGATAGTGGGAATAAATCCAGTAGGAACGACGGTGTTTGTATGGTGATAATTTTGAAAAATAAAACCATTTTATGTTCGTAACGTCTTTGTAAAAGGCTGGAAAATCCAGATTCAGTATAAAGTAAAATATGGGAAGTGTAAATTACTTATATAAGTAATCTGCTCCCACCAGATTTCCATAATAAAGAAAGCCTTGATTACCAGACCTATTATCGACAACCTCCGGCCATACTAGCGTTACATTAGGACGTTAAACCCCATTTCATTTCATTTAATTTCATACAAGCGTTTAATGCAGATATGGTGGGCACTGTCTTATCCATTCAATATTATGTCACCCGATGCTCTAGAGAGTGGATTATGGGGTCGTCATGTGATTAAATGTCTAAATAATTTTTTATATAATAGTTGAAGCCAGAAAGACTTAGATTTTATATAATTTTAATTAATTTTTAAGTACATGACCTTTTGGAATATTTTTAAATAGACTATTTTATAAACTTATTAGGCTATAGGGGTCGCGTTCAATGACACTCTTACCAGGGGCCGTATTCCTGAAATCTTAAACTAGAATATTTGAAACAAAGGGGCTGTTCATTTTTCATTGGCGGCAGATCAAAGTCATTGCTGGAAATTTTAGCGATAAACGAGGAAATGATGTTGGAAAACCCATGGAAATTTCTCTACCAACACAGGGAGCCAACCCGAGACCTCCTGTTCAGCGAGCCAATGGCTTACTGAATCACTGCGGCTCCCACCAGTTACAAGGGTTAGGGTAAGAGATTAGTTATGAAAAATATATCGTAGATTCTGAAATGTCCCCAATATTTGTCTGCTTATATTAAGTATGCCAGTCTCTTGCGAAATAATTTAATATTCAAATTACGAATCATAAACACGTTTTCGCAGCCATGGTGTCTCAGTAACAGGGATGATGCTCGGGTTCAGTCCCGGGTATGGATCGAGAAAGTACCTCGGGATGTTTCAACCTAGTGCAGAACTCAAGAGGAAAGTCGTACACATCCTGTCTTTATTATCCTAGTTGGTGTAGAAAAGTAGGACGTTAAACCCCATTTCATTTCATAAATACCGAAAAAACAACCTTGACAGTTAATACGGACGCTTTATTAAACCATACATTATGCAAGAGCTTATCTGTCTATTTCAGGTCTTTCTTAAGGCCTGAAATGTTATCTAAATTTTTAATTAGACATTAATTAACTTATCCAGACCATAATCAACTGTCGCCACAATCGCTAGCCTGTGGTATTTTGCGGATTGGAAAACATTTTTTGAAAATGTGGAGAAATTTGACTGAAATTTTCAGCATACTCTATTTACGTTATCTGGTTTTTTTTTAAACTCCGTATATAATCTCTCATAATGTCCCTTTAAATGAATACAACGGTGTTTAATGCAAGGTCAGTACCAACCAGGATGTATTGCGATCGAGCTAAAATTTACTGCGGATCAGTTGTTTTGCCCATTTTATTTCTGTATGGGGCCTGACAAGGACAGCCGTCTAGTTGTTCGGATGGGACGAAAAACCGAGGTCCCGTGTACACATTGGCGTGCACGTAAAAGATCCCTTGACAGTTGGAATTCGATATAAGAGTAGGCCATAGTGCCGCTGCCCGGGCAAAATTTCCCTCATAGCACACTGTATGGCGTATGCCCGTCTTCATTAGCCCAGATCCTGGCAGAACAGTAGGACGTTAAAGCCCATTTCATTTATTTCTGTATGGCCACTTTCCTGCGAATATTCATGACGCAGCCCCACGTGTTGTGGATTATCCTGATCACTGTTGGGTTACTACAGGTACAAATATTGTACCATTTATTCTAGGAGTGCAGTTTATATTGTTACAGCCAGGGGTTCTTTAATTGTCCACTTTGATACACTGGACCACGTCCATAATTGAAACAAAATATATATATAGTTGGTCTATAAAGGGTCATGAATAAGGGTCAAAGGGCAATGTTTATTTTCACGGCCAATGGCCCATTGTGAATCTCCTCTTTCACAGCGACTCTCTATTTGTTTTCAAACCTAATAAATATGTTCACAATTGAAAGTTTTAATTGTTTGAACAAAACGCACTAATATTGAAGATTTCCTGTTGCTTGTTTAGAGAAAGCTAATCAAATATTCCATAGTTACATTTAAAAGTAATATAGTGAATAAGTCAATACACGGTTTTAGTTGACTTTGTATCAAATTCCTTTTTCAACAATTAAATGGATACATTCTGATAACAGACAGTCTAACGCTATTCAGAAATGGAATGGGATTTAACTTCAGGCCTTTCTGCTCCATCCGGGCAATGAAGATGGACATACGCCATGCAGTGTGTTATACGGTCCATGGTGTTATGTGGCAAGATACAGGAGTTTTTCGTCCTATCCGAACTACTATACGCCACTTTTCAAAAGTAAATATTACGGTCACATTTAAGCATGGTCAAGATATAGATCTATGGGTTGCATGGAATTCAATATTAGGTAGTTCAATACATTAATTATCTCCAGAATTAATTCCAAACTTAGCTTTGATTTGTCATGATGTCTTGCTTTGCTGTATGATGGATCTCCCGATACCTAGTTCCCGGGAATAAATGTGCCCGAGCGGGGCCCTGGGCCTGACTAGTATCGCGGGGCCCCCAACGCGACGAAAAGATTATTTCATATCCTTATAAATAGCACGCATGCGTAACACAGAATTAAATCGTCTGTATGTGGAATTGCAGACTCGCCCATTCTCCGCCGATTGCGCCGCTACAAACAACAATGCTATCAGAAGCTGTATAAGCTGATAACAATGCCACATTTTTGTCACGAAGCTCTCCAAGACATGCCGGCGTACATATGCCATACTAAACTTACCATATCTGTCTACAATACACACCGCTAGGGACAAGACACTGAACTGGTTGACCGACATTTTGATTCCAAAATCGACGATTTTAGTCCAAACGCTTCAAGAATTTTGAGAAGTATTTATTAAAATAAGTTTTCATTTAATGAAATTTACAAGATTTATTTCGTCTTTGTGTATATGCCAGATGTTGAAAGGAATACTAATGGCGGGTATTCGGGGCAGAGATCTATTCTTGAAACAGATAGTTCTCCGTGTACAGAATGAGCATATAACTATCGAAATTCACAACGCTTAAGCTGTGGACACACTAGCCGAATGATTCGGCGTTGAAATTCGCCTAGTGTGTCCACTGTCATTCGGCCGAATCAAACAGGTTTGATATATTCGGCCGAATTATATTCGCCTGTTGTGTACGCTTCGCCGAAGCATTCGGCCGAAAATAGAATTCATTAGCCAATCACCACTCATATCAAGAAGTCACATGATAAATTAAAGACATAGACGCCGCCATGTTTAATCATGTGACATGAAAGGTGATGCAACCGACAGGTTGAATCGGGCGAAGCATTCGGCTAGTGTGTCCACCCATTCGGCCGAACGATTCGGCTAGTGTGTCCACCGCTTTATGCAGTGTGCCACGATTTACCGAGAACTGATAATACCGACTGACAACAGAAATCATAAATGGTCGAATTTGCTTTGATAAAAGAGGTAGTATGCAAGATTATCGGTCCATAATCAAATCTCTAGAGCTTAGGATGGCTTGGGTATCGAGTGGATTATACAATGTCCGCCATGTCTGTGTTAAACGGTAATATGGCTGGACCAGCCAAAATTTTCCAAAAATGACGTCACCCATGGAAGATTGTCGATAGAAGGCCTTACAAGAGTTATTCTATTCTTATTATAAGTCTTGCAATGAAACAGGTCCGTAGTTAGAGGGACAGCTGCCTTCCCTGGAAACAATCGGCCCACCCAACGGTGCCTTTGTCCATTGGGGAAAGAATCGGTTCCGCCAAAGAGCGCCTTTTCTATTGGACGAAATTGGAAGTCAACGACCAACATGCCCCCATTGCCCCCATGCTAGCTATGGGCCTATGAAATGGGATTTAAGGTCCTATTTGTCTGCTCTGTGTGAGCTAATGAAGACCGGCATGCTATGAGAGAAATTTTGCCGGGACAGTGGCCTACTCTTGTTTCTAATTTCAACTGTCAAGGGTTCTTTCACGTATACGCCAATGGGTACAAACGATTAAAGTATTTTTTGCATTAAAACTACTATAAATATAATTGCATCCACTGTCCGAAACCCCATAAAGTAGCCATTCATAACTTACCCCCTGAATAAAGTAATTTAACTGAAATATTCAATATATTAATTTTTCATGATCAATTTTTGAACAGCTCAAACATTTAGCCCTTCATCTAAATAACACACACAGGTGAAAAATGGGGTTTACCATCCACTTGACACAAACTAGGTCAATTCGGGAAGAATGATTTATGATCTGATCTATAGCGCATGTGTTAAACCATTCAGCCACCCATGGGCAACTGTGCCCTTGATACCCTTGAGTCAACTGGCGTGGTTTAGATTCCTTTGTACAGATTCCTTTGTACGTGACAAGGAGTAAGATCTGTGACAAGGAGTAAGATTGCCTGTCCAACCTTGTGGGTTCCCCAAATGACCTAGTTTGTCTCTCTCTCTCTCCCCCCCCCCTCCCTCCAAAATTTCCCAAACATTATCAAATACATGTTTTTTAAAACCAACTTTATTTCTCATTAAATTTTATTAATAATATTTATATAATTTTTCCCACATGTATTTATATAATTTTTCCCACATATATTAATATCATTACTAATGTAATTACCAAACATGACAGATACATACATAACAAAAATACTTTTTAAGTAAAGGTCCCACAATAAATCAACAGATAAAAACAAATATTTAATTAATAAATAAACGGAGTGCGGGTCAACAAAAACAAAAGATGGTAAATCTGATATATGAAAAATGAAATCAAACATAATTTCTCTATATAGCAGAACTGCTGGAACCAATATTTTTAAGGGTGTCTTCATTAATTTACTCTGAATTTTGTTCTGATGGTCAATTAACAAAAACTGGCTTGTAAATAATGATGAAAAACTCAAAATAATTATTATATACCTTATTTGAACATAATAATAATTATAAGTTAATAAATTAAAATCCAAATCAACATTCTAATGAATGCAACTATGAGATTTCCAGTTTCAACAGAGATCCAACAAGCAGTTGCCATGCAAGATTCGGCCAAATTTTGCAAGAGAAAATGTGGGCGTATAAAAATTGTTTGAATGAGTGTTAAGTTTTCTTAGTAACCTAGATGTTGCATGGTTATCAAATTAGTAAACATTGTATGCTGCTACCAAACTTCAAGCGGATAGCTTTAATTGCAAATTATGGCAAAGATTACAACATTTTTTTGGAATTAACTTGATGTTTAATTCAATTAAGTAATTTGACATAAAAAAACAAATAATTTAAGCAAGTTGATTTAATAAGTAAGGTCACCAGTCAGATCTTTTAATGATATAGTCATACCAGGGAATGAACATATGCCCACACTCAGGTCATGGCCATTAACTAGATATAAAAAATTCAATGGCAACTCTGAATTACAAAAAGATTCCTCTATATAATTTGCCTAACAATTCCAGAAAATTGACCATAAAAAATCATAATGATTTTAATCAGGACAATTTAGTTTGGAAAAAGAAAATCTCAAAAATCTCTGACCAGTTGATCATTGACAGTGACTCTGTAAAAATTGTTTCCTGACTTTAAATTTTGATTAAGATCTTCTGGAAGCATACAACAATCCTAGTGAGTTTGAAAAGAAAATCTCAAAAACTCATAGGTTTCGATGACAGGGTTAGTAATACTGTGAAAACTCTGGTTTCTAATAAAGCTTCTACTCCTCTGAGCATCCCAGCAAAAATTCTTGACATGTACAGTGTTGACAAGGAGTGTGGGTTAGACGTGTATGACAACAATATACTCTTACAAGGTGGACTACAAAAATGAATGGTTTGATATTACTGATGATTTGAAAGCCTACAGTATAATATGAAATATAATGCACCAATTTGCAATAGTTACCACTTGCTAATAACCACTGATTATACAGTATTACACGGTGTAGTGATTATAACAGTTAATCGTGGTATTACAAAAACCAAGGATTATATATTACAAGGATGTAGTAATTTTAACATCTGATTGCACATAAACAAAACTAAGTGGTTGTTCTTGTATCTGATCGCCCAATGAACAAAACGTAAAGCAGCATCACATAAAGTTAAAGCTTGTTAATAAAATATCATTGTCAACACATAAACATAGCATAAAAAAACCTAAAAAAATAATATATATATCCACTAAAGGCTGTAAATTCATATACACCTTGATTCAAATTAATAATATATCAACCCAAGTGTAAAATAATGACATATACACCTTGATTCAAATAAACTTTTCAAATGATAAAGTATCACATTGTCAGATTGGCTTGTGTGGAAAGATGTCAGTTAATCTGAAAAACAAAAAAAACCAGTCATAAATAAAATAGGCTGCATTTGATATATATTCGTAACTAAAACATATTACATCTCATATAGCGTAAATTTATGATACATAAAACACAGAGTAACACATTACATCTCTAACAACAGGGTGAATTAATAACAAATAAAACACAGAGTAACACATACAGAGTAAATTCATCATAAATAAAACACATCTGAGTGTGCACATACATGTACATTTGTCTCCACTCCCACTTGAATGCTTTGAAAATAATTCTTTGAAATTTTTAAATATCGCAGGGTTTAGACAAACACTCAACACAAAATAAATCATTTCGGGACTAGCATATGCTTCAATTTTATTTAAATAATTTGTTTGTGCAAAAGGGTCCTTAAACCTGCAGAGTACCACAAGGTTAGGTGGGTGAAACTACTTCTTGTAATGATGCACAGGTGTGTGGATTGAACCCACACTACTTGCATAGATAACCGTGTAGGATATGTCCAACATACACAGCATCCATACTTTTGCATTTTACCACCTGTCGACCCAAGTAATCTATAGGCAAATGAAATGAAATAGGGTTTAATTTCCTAGTATTCTGCTAATGAAGACCACCATACAGTGTGCTACGAGGGAAATTTTGTTCAGTGTCCAGACAGCGGTGTTAAGTCCTATTCTTATAATGAATTCCAACGGGCAAAGGATCTTGATCTTTTACGTGCAAAGTACCAATCTGTTTCACAGAGAATTACGAGTCTCGTATAATACCTCTGTCATAGATGACTGCCTTAACACGTGCTGTCACAGCACGCGGTGTGAATCATTGGCTGAATGACGCGTGCATTGTTTACATAAGACATAACTGCTTCGGAGAGAATGCTGCATTTTAGTCATTTTAAAACCCATTTACACTAAATAGGAAATAATTTTTACCTACAAATACGTCAAACGCCTTTATTTATTTTTCCAATATATACAAAAAATGTTTTAGAATTTAATTTGTCGCAGGAAAAAAGTTAATATTTCTAGCTCATTAAGCCGCATCAATGTCATCCTTATCAGTGATTGTCGCGGCCAAGCAAATATTCACTGCGGATCAGTGTGGCAAAGTACCTCTGTTTTTCGTCATGGAATGAACAGGGTAGCGAGCCAACATCTTACTCACAGAACCACTGCAGCTCTCAGGTATAAATATCATCCATATCAGATCAACCTACCTGTATTAACTAAGATCGCCATCATTATGCTGTCGGATTGATTTGCATAAGTTTCAGATCTTCGTCTACCATTTCTTTCACTAATTCCTAAAATAAAATTCAAAAATAAAAATAAAACAAGTCAACAGCAAAAATATCCATTATCAAACTTAGTCAAGGTATTGATATAAGTACATCAAGTGTTATCACTCTCACTTAATTAGTACTAAAGTTATCATGTCCCAAAGCACCTACCAATTAAATCGTTCATCTCTGTTTACCCTAAGAAGAAAATGCTTATCCTCAATCCCATCAAGGCCTACACCAAGTTTGAACATTATACCTCAATTAGAAGGAGAGTTATTGTCTTCCAAAGTCTCGACCAATCAAATTGCTTATCGCTCTGCTTACCCTGGGCAGAAAATGCTCATTATCGAACTTAGTCAAAGTATTGATGTAATAATGAATCTATACACCAAGTTTCATCACCTTCACTTAATTATAACTAAAGTTATCGTGTCCTAAAGCATCAACCAATCAAACTGCTTATCTCTGCTTACTCTTAGCAGAGAATGATCATCTATCTTCGGACTCCATCAAGGCATTCACCTAATAAACACCTACACCAAGTTTGAACATTCTAGCTCAATTAGAAGAAGAGTTATTGTGTCCCAAAAAGTGTGACGGACAGACCCATTTTAATAGTCCCCTGCTTTCTTCAAAACGTGGTGGACAGGGGTCGAAATAACGCTTGTCTACATGTCGAATCCAAGTAACATTTTTAATGGACAAGTAGAAAAAAAATCTACTTGTCCCTGGTGACAACTAGAATAATATCTATAAAAATTCAGGCTAAAAATGTATGTCTAATTTATCCATTCCAATAAAATTGGAAGAGGAGAATTTTTCATTTTAAAACAAATGAGACGTTATTTAACAGCACGCGACAAGCTGTTCGTTTGTCTCCATAGTACTTTTTTGTGGTGGCGAATTTCTTCCCGATTAACAAGACTGAAACTTATATGGTCCTTTTAAGTTTGCTCTATACGTCTGGGAAAGGTTTCTTTGCATTAAAATTAACAGTACTGATTCTGTGAAAACCGTAATGCCATTGGCTATTCCTTTTTAATCACCCAATCACAGTCAACATTACTTAACTCCATGGCAATCAGGGCGATTTACGATATTAAAATGGAAGTTGTGATTAAAATTTAATTTTGGCGATAATGTTTTGGGGAACATAAGATAAAAAATCTTAAAATTCTAATCATATACATGTATATATGTCCTTGTCACCTGAGACAAGTAAAATTTTACAAACATTTCAACCCCTGGTGGTCGACAATAAAATGAAATAGGGTTCAACATCCTACTTTACAGCACCATCCAGGCTAATGAAGTCGGGTATAAATACCCACAAAAATATTTGGTTTGATATAATATAAACTCTTTCATTTATTAACACTTTTTAGTATTATTACTGGTCTGTTCTATGGTAATACGAAATTATCTTCTAATGCTAACATGGATATTTTTTAAACTGTTCAAATCTGGGGCCCCCCAAGACCGAATCAGAATTGGTCCAAAGCATTGTAGAGTGTCAGCACTGATGATCCCATGTGAACCCCTTACTTTAATAGCAGAACGATGTAGCACATTTTGCTGGTCTTGTTGAGGCGTTGTCACTCACCCACACGGATTGCCGTCAAGGCCCTGACTAGTCTCTAGTGGACCCTTCCTGCTAGAAACGATCATCTAGTGGACCCTTCCTGCTAGAAAGGATCATCCAATCTCAAGAGGGTAGTGTGATGGCATCCAAAACTTTGGGCTATGGCTCTGGTATACGGTGTGTCTTCCACAAAACTGTAGAAGTTGTACCTACACATGCTCTTTAAAGCAATGTCTTCATCATAAAATCGTGATTTTCAATTTCCGATTTTTATGTTCGAAAGAATTAATGTGAGAAAAATGCCACGGATTAATATATATTTATCTTCATTTCGAAGTTATTGTATTACAACTCAAAATATTCCTGGTCTATATGTCCAATTTAGCTCTTTATTTGTCTTTAACCAAATAAAAAATTTGATAATAAAAGCTATATAAATAGCCAAAAGAGAACTTTTCATGAATAAATTATTATTATAAGCTCTATTAATATCTAATTTCTTAGTCTAATATATAATTTTTTGTGTACACCACGATATCTTACCATAGATAAAAAAATATGAATTTAATTTGCAAAGTTTTCATGCATTATAAAAAATGACCGACAGAGAAAATTTTGAAGTGGAAGGCCTGGTTGGTTTACACAATAGTGAAAACATGATTTGGATGTTCATAATATGATCTGATCTTGTTCCAATTAGAATGAAACAGGGTTCCCGCAGCTTCGTCAAACATTTTTTCAAGGATATTCAAGGATAAATATACTCAAATTCAAGGACATTTTTTAGCCTAAAGTTACAATTTTTCATCTTTAAAATAACCAAAACATTACCAACTATCGTTATAATCTCATATTTAAAAGGAATTGAAGACATTTGAAACAAAATTAAGGATCTCAACTGAAATTCAAGGATATTTTCCTATTTCCGCGAAATTCAAGGATATTCAAGACCTTGAAAATGAAATTTTAATTTTAAGGATATTCAAGGATTTTCAAGGACCGCGGGAACCCTGTGAAACACTGTAAGACAATGGTACTGCAGCTTGTGTATCACACATGTATTAGTTAAGTTAGTTAGTAAGACAACAATATAATTACCTGTTACACCTACGCTACTAATACATATGTATTATGAATGACTGTTATATAATAATAATTATATTTCTATAATATATGTTCTCATATTCTCTGATGTTTGTGCCCGAAAAACGTTCCCACCCCACACCCGGTGCTCATACACCTATATTTAATATTCAAAGCACTAATTTGACCTAATCAATACTCAGAAGGTTAATTCTTGTTTCAAAAAAGAATAAAACCCAACTTACATTAAAATTATATTTCTTCTTCCATCCTAGTTTTTCCTGAGCTTTTGAGCAATCACCAAGTAAAAATTCCTAAAGAAGAAAATAAGTAAATACATTTTATATTCAATAAAAGAATAACATACTTAAAATGATAAATATAGTATGCATCCCACCGATAGTTACTTGTTCTAGTATAATAAGAGCGGAAATTACTAAAGAACTTCTGAAGAAGAAAATCAGTAAATACATGTAATAGTAAACAAAAAATAAATAAAAGATGAATAAAATATGAATAAAAGAGAGAGAGAGAGAAATAGGGTTTAACGTCCACTCGACACAAACTAAGTCATTTCGGGACTAACATGGTTTAATTTTATTTCAATAATTCGCTTGTGCGTAGGGGTCTTTAGCAGTGGGAGGAAACCGGAGGACCCAGAGAAAACCCACAAGGTTGGACAGGCGACCCTACTCCTTGCCACGTACAACCGGGGATTCGAAACCATATGAATAAAAATGCACCCCACTGATAATTAATTGACCTAGTATAATGAAAACGAAAATAGAGGTCCTTAATTTGGCTACACATTGCATTTTCAAAATCATAACCAAGTAATGAGTGCAATTAAGCCCCCAAATAGGCTATAATTTGAAGCAAACTGTCTGGGTTTTCAACTATGGATGTATGGTACATACTGCTACTGCAGTGGATACTTTGGAAGAATATTATCAGATCTTCACCAAATTTAAGAGAGACCACCTTCAGAATGATATTGACTCGCATCATAAAAATCTAAAAAAAGAGTGGCCACGAATTGATATATTATGGTTATTGAAATGAATGCTTAAAGTTTGAGTCAAGTCCATATCTTGGACAAATTCGATAAGGATCATCTTTCAAAATGATATTGACACACACAATAAAAATCGATAAGTAAAGAATCCACAAAGAATTGTAGACTGTAGAGTGAGCCCAAGTCAAATGTGAATGGATGAACAGATGGAAAGGATGATCCCAATATATGCCCATGTATAAAAATGACTGGAGGAAATAACCCTTTCAAAGAAATGTTAACCCTTTGGAGATTAAAGAGATTAGATAAAGAGCTGGCAGTTCTGACTATAATAGTTAAAAACTAGACAATGTAAAGGGAATTTGCTGAAAATTTCAGTCAAATTGATCCACTCTGAACCAAGATTTTAGCCATTGAATTTTGGGTCTAGACTCAATCATCATTACTAAAGTCTGTACGATAAAAAACATAGTCTTGATTATCCATTTTTTGATTTAATTATCAATGAGCATTTCTAATCCAGAAAATATCGCAGGCTAGAGATGCCATCGAGAGCTGATTATGGTCTGGATAAGTTAATTAATGTATAATTAATAATTTAGATAACATTTCAGGTCTAAAGAAAGACGTGCAATTGGCAGATTTAGCTCTTGCATAAAATGTCTCATCAAAACAACACTTCGATTATTTTGACATTACATGTGCATGTAAATTCTATTTTTTATGTGTATAATAATTGTTCGTAAAAATTGGACTGGCCGCAGCAATAGAAAATGTTAAAACTATAGAGAGAGCACAAGCTGGTACATTATGTTTATTGGAATGAATGCCTAAAGTTTGAGTCGCAAAAGTTTGACTGGGCGGCAGCAATGTAAAATTGTTAAAACTACCCCCAAAAAATCAAGAAATTATGTCAGGTATTGCAGAATGACAGATTAGATATACTCTGCTTGTGTTGTGCATGACAAATTTAGATGCCAACTTCCAGTGGACGCTATCATAATTATTTGCACAGTCATTTCAATACAAGGAACCCTACCTCCCTAGTGGCATCTTCTACAAAACAATAATTAATATGGAATATTGAAATTCCTATCACCCTACGTGTATATAAAGTCAATGATTCAAATTTATGGGGAATAAATAAAAATGGCTTAGAGTATATATCTTAAGAAAAATAAACTTATAACGTGCATCCATATAGACGAATCAGATGACCAGATGTGTATCAACACACACATGAAAAAAAAAAACAAACCGAAAAACACCGGCAAAAAAACAGAAAATGCATCAGTTGGCCAAAAGGCACATTACCAGTCAATATGTGTTAAAGCTACTAATACCCAGTTGTTTATCCACACAAGTCAATTATTTATCAACCAATAATGGTATATTTATTAAGCAGTGACGAGTGTTCGTACAAATTATAGGATATGAGACTGCGATATATTTATTTTTACAACTGATAACCACATATTGATCTATTTCTTCTCAAAACTATCGCGAAGGGATTTCATGTCTGTCTGTCACTGATAACAGGAGTTCCAGTGGCGCTTAACACAAATAATCCTGCCATCTCTTGCTCTTCCAGCTCTCAATAACAGCCCAGTAGAAAAAAATTTGGAAAGTATTAGGCAACTAATGAACTTTTTATTACAGTAAATTCTTTTTGAAGGACCATTTTTTATTAGCTGTCTGAAGTGGTTCAGCTAGAGAAAAACATTTCCACATTGTTACTTCCCATGGTGCCATATGATATAAATCAAGAACAAAGGATAAAGCTTGTACTCGGAATGCGGTAAATGTGTTTTATAGTTAATTTTCCTTTCAGTTTTTCGAATATTTCACATCATACTTATAGCGATTGTTTTCAGACTGCAACCAGCCATTGTTGATTTATCAAATTACGTGTTTTCTTTTCCGACAAATTCTTGACATGTTTGTTGTTCATCCACATTACACAAAAATGCCAAAGACGTTGCAGAAAGCAATTAATCTTGTGATTTCAGATTTGAACGCGGATGTCAAACATGATCAGAGTTTTAATATTTTGATACAGGAACATCGAAGCTTTCAAACGACCCACAGCTAAAATAGTTCCCATGTTAATCCTTCTCTTAGGAAAGTCAAATTTATGGAGAAAAATAAACACACCATTCTCGTTTTCTCCCTACCTCATTTTTTTGAGAAAACCACTCCATTCTTGCTATCAATGTGTTTTGAGATGTCAAGCTTGTGATTATTTCTTCACCAAATAAATAAATCTTTAGAAAGCTTGTAAAGTAGTGAACCAAAATAAAGTCTGTTAATGGCAATGTGGGCAGACGGTTTGGTCTGAACAACCAATTCTATTCTGTGTTTTCTCTGTTTATATTGTAGAAGAATTTGTTAACATCAGAATAGAACAGGAATTGAGAATATAACCAGTTGACAACTTACTGACAGCGAATCCATAATGACACCCTGGACAGAAAATGTTGGAATTTTTTTTTAGTTCTATAAATAATAGAATGTAAACGAGACAGATGAGAAGACAGTCAGACAATGGGCATGTGTCGGCCATCTTTAACTTCTGTTAATTATACACAACAATCACATAATAGGGAATGGAGGCGGAGTTTAACATCTTACCAACAGTTATCTTGAGACTAACATATGGTAATTTTTTTTATTTCAATGGTTATGTTGAGCACACAAGCTAATATGCAGTGATTTTGAAATTTATTTAAAAAATCATTACAGTACAAAGTCGATAGAGGACAGATCCTACATGGGACGTCTAACATCCCACTTAAAAATATCGGGGAGTAGTCGGCGCAAAGTTGACAATCTGTGCACCAGTTTGATATGTGCAGATTACAATCTGCGTGCGCAGGGTCCAATTTGCGCGGACAGGGTGCCCAACAGTTATATGTACTGTGAGAATTTTTCCAGAACATATTCATTTCGATCTGTGATGAGTGAGAATTGGGCTTAAAAATCCTGGAGGTTTTTCTCAGGACATTTGAGTCAAGAGACCTAACCATATTGTACAAAATGAAGCCGGTCCATCTTGTTTAAAATTAGGTCAGCCAGACCACCTTGGATGGAGATTATATTTTATCACTGAGCCTTCATGTTTTATCATTTGAGCCAAAGAAGGATACCTATTAAATTTTTGACTAGCTTTGGGGATTGCCCTATTAAAATTCTAAAAAAATATATGAAAAACAGGAATTTAAAAAAAGAAAACAGAAGAGCTACTCTAAACTGTACCCAACCGCCAAAATAATGTTATAGTTAATTTTCAGAGTTATTGGGCAGAGACAATTATTAGATCTGAAGGAGAGAGAGAGAAATCGGGTTTAACCTCCACTAGACACAAACTAGGTCATTTCGGGACTAACATATGGTTTACTTTTATTTCAATAATTCGCTTGTGCATAGGGGTCTTTAGCAGTGGGAGGAAACCGGAGGGCCCAGAGAAAACCCACGAGGTTGGACAGGCGACCCTACTCCTTGTCACGTACAACCGGGGATTCAAAACCATGCTAGTCGACTCAATGACAGACTTTATGATACAGCACGCGCACGCTAACCATTTAGCCAACCAACCCCCCATAGATCTGAAGGAAGCGAAACAAAAATCTGACAATAAATCAAGTAGGTGGAAAATGGCAGGGGCATTGTTGAACCAAACTAAGTGTAATGGTTCCAGTGTAACATATTTAAACAATAAATTGATGTATATTGACATCTCGACATAATTTAAAGTCAAGTTTCAACTTTCCTATTTATATTCTCATATTGGTAAATCATGTCTACACCACCTGCTTCACCCTAACCTTTACATCTGTACCTCATAAACCTTCCCCTAATTAAAATATCTCATTGGAAGGCCAAAAACACAAAATGTCAACATCAGTCCTTTTAATTTTCTTGTTATCATCAGCAATTCCTCTCAAAACATGCCAGGCATTTATTACTTCTTTTCCCCACCCATGAAATTTAAGCAAATGTGGTTTCATCCAGACTAAATATAAGATGTAAATGCCGGAGACGTTAAGTTGTTTGAAGTTACATGTATGTGTAGCCGAACATGATTGGTCCATTTGCAATGAACACAAATTCCCCGAGTTATCACTTCAATTAAAGTTCATTGCAGATTATCTGATTTTTGGACGTCATTTTAACTGTAATTTAACGAAGAATTTCAAGATCTGCAAGATTACATTGTCAAACAAATTAATTACGATTGCTTCCTAATCGCTTAAGTCTGTTTACATTGCACAGTTTTTTAGGTTTTGAACATCACATCTT